TTTTTGTTCTCCCCCTACTGGAGTTTCTTTGTAGTACGACAGTTCACTCCTCAGCCCGTGATCTTCTTTCTCCATGATCTACTCCATCCATGTCTAGTTAGCTAGTAGCTAACTAGCTAGGACCGTGAATTCATAAAACTGCCAATTTCCAGATACACCTTGCAGTGTCTAGAGGAAAAATAAAGAATGAGAAGAAAAAAAGCCAAAAAAGGATTTTTATTCCCAAGCTATTCCTCAGAGGATTTGTCTTTTAGGTGGTTTCGCACGCTCGCCAGAGCACGCAGAGAGTAACCGGTCAAAGTAGGATGCCGTGCTACTGGGTAGAATGTTTTCCTATTTATCCTTAAATAAACAATCTTTATTCCCTTGTATTATTATAGCTAACATGGATGTGCTAGTGTCTCATTAATTGGCCTTCCCCAATAACGAATTACGAAGGCTTCTACGACATCTACCGTCAAGGTGTCATACAAAGTGCCATTACAAAAAGGAGAAATAAATCTTGTGGAACAAAGGGGACAAACACCAGAGAGACGCAAAGTGTCTTTATGGATATTTAGGTTACTGATACACTTCTGGTTTTCAGAGGATCGCTTGGGCGAGTATGTTCCTTAGAGACATTCACTGTAGGAGCGTACAGACATACGGGGGGAAGGAGAGGGTGGCGGCAGCTTAAGATGTGTGTAGCCATCTGTAGATGGTTACTATACCTAATGTATTGATAGGTAGGCCCCATTACATTAACGACTCCTTTGCTGTAAAATTTGCCGTTCCTCCTCTCTACCGCTAACTCAGCGCTGCTGACGGCAGCATCTCTCCTCTCCGCATGCAACAGCAAATATGCATTATTCGCTGTATTCACTGATGTGCTATAAAACTGTCCAAGGCTCCTGCTTAGTCAGCAACTTTCTGCAGGCTGTCTAATCTACTGTGGCCGAGAATCTCGTTTGCTAATATGCAGATAGACTAACCTAAGCCATTCCTTGTAATCACAAGGCTTTGTGCAGCTATCATTGGCAGGGTTCCTCTATACGATTTTATAGGAAAGCTGGATTGGCAGATATCCTATCGTCTTCGCCTGTCTGGTCTATTTTTACTTTAAAGCGCAGCTCATGATTTTTTTCGTCTGAGGATGAATACCCTCTCTGCTGATGTGATTTTGCCGCCTCGGGGGAGGCGGGCATCTCAGTGGCTTATTGGGAAGTTCGTCTACCAATCTCTTTAATTTGGTCGCAACTGAGGACAGTCTTAAGGTTAGGACTAAGAATATCTTCTTGCATGCGGCAGAATGTTGCCGCTATATATATACGTCACAGCAATAGGAGTGAAGGGAATAATATGAATTGAATTAAAAAGCATCGGAATTAGATATCTATGAGGATTTTACTTTCTTTCACTAAAAAATCAATTTTATTCAGTATATAAAATGAATCGCCTAATGTTGGCTGGCGTATCCGTGCATGCAACAGGATGAATAGAGGCTGCTGTTGTTGCTGCTTCCTCGCCTCGGCGACTGGCGTTTGGAGGGAAAGAAAAGAAGTAAATAGAGGGGAAAGAGGAAATAAAATGTAAATTCAATTGAATCAATGTAGTATTCGTATTGAACAACGAATCGTATAAGGAAAGAAAGCTGTTCTGCGCGTGCATTCATATCTGCATGTACACCCGAGCTGCTCATACACTCGAGAGTGTTCGAGCTTTCCTGTGTGCTCGGCATTCCTGGATACTTTTCTCTGTTTTTTTCCGTATACTTTCATGTTCTTGATAAATAATTATTTTATTATAGCTGTATTTCCTCAAGAAGAATCTAAGAGAAAGGATTTATCCCTACATGACGAGGAATTTTAATGAGCTTTCTGGTGGTCTGTCCATACAATATTTTCTATAGTATACTCTATACACGGAGCGTCGGCTCTGCGTTGTACAACTTGTTAGATTTTATGGTATATTTATGTTGATTTATTTATTTTTTTGTTATAAGATTCAATTTTTAACATAATAATGTTTCCTCTTCTCCGATTAAAGGGCTTCAATCGCCCTTCTGTTGGCGGCGGATTTCGTGCGCCTGGAGTTGACTTTCGTTGCAGGTTTTTTTCGTGTTTGCTGCTGCTGCTGCTGCTGTTGCTGCTGCATGTATTCAACATGGATACTTCATTAGCAATAGAAGAGATGAGAGAAGTTATACCAGAAGGTGAAGGAGAGGATAGTATATTATATAATAGTGCAGAGGAAGAGGAAGAAGAAGAAAATACGAATGTTGAACATAAACCTCCCTATAAAGATATACAAGAAGTAAAAGATGTATTAGATACATGGTGGCCATCATCAGCTATATATGACTTTGATAAATCCTTAGAGGCAGCAAAAAAGAAAGCAAAGAAACCTTTAGGTCTATGGGGTATAGAGACAATAGATCGTAAAGAATTAGTACGTCTTCTTAATCTAGATATGGAGAGATATATTGCTAGTCAGTATTCATCTATACAAAAGATAGATCCTTTATTACAACAAATACCTCTTCTTAGTGATTGGTCTGTATTATTATTAGTAAGACAGCAATTAACAAGAGATAGGGTAAAAACTAAATTAAATAATAAAGAATTAAATAATATTTTTCATGGTTTCCCTCGTCTATTTCCTTGGCTACCTGTAGAGGATGCATGCGAATGGGTACCTATTAATAGTAAGACATTTATTAAGGATTTATTAATTAAGGATCTTCTTCCTACTTGTACAGCTGCAGATGCACCTGAAGATCTTGATGAACTCTATTAAACAATTAAGGAAACTGTACCCTTTTATGATACAGAGGGGGGCCCCCAAACAAACATACCGGGAGGGCCCCATAACTACAAACCACAGCTGTGGGCGTATGCAAGCAACTGGAGGGGGGCCCTTATGGGCCCCAACTGGGGATTGTATCTGTCGGGTTTAACATGCAGGACGGGGGGGGCCCCTTAGGTGTGTGTCTTTTTTTATGTAGGGGGGCCTCTTAGTATGTACTACAGGGGCCCCCATGTGTACTATTTATACATATTGGCTTTATATAAATATGCACAAAAGGGTTTAGGCCTTTTTAGCTGTCTGTACACCGCAGCTGCAGCATACACAGTTATTTGCTTCTCTTTGCATGCAGGCATGCAGCAGCTGCTTGCATGAAGGTGGAGAGGGCCCTTAGGGGGACTTTCAGAGCCCCAAGAGAGAGGGGAGGGAGAAGGGGCCCTATTCATCTGTCTGCTGGGGTAACCTAGCAGGGCACCTTGGGGGGGCCCCTGGGGGCCCCCTTCCTTCCCCCCTTGCCGTTAGCGGTTGCTTGTTTACCTGGACCCAGTACTTTCTTTAGTTATTTTCTTTGTATTTGTTTAGGCATTAAAGGAAAAAATTAACTCATTTAGGGACAGTTAACATATTAGGGGCCCCCCTACAGGGTTTAGCAGGGTATAAGGGGCCCCTAAGACCACATTATAAACCCTCTAGGGTTTATAATGGTGGCCCCTTGGGTTTAGGGGCACCAATAGATGCAGAGGGGCCCCCTAGTATATACAGAGGGTCCCCCCAATAGATGTAGAGGAGAGGAGTATAGAAGAGGCCCGCAGGGGCCCCCAGGTGTCTGTATATGGGGTAAAGGGACACTCAGTAACAACAAGGAAGTTAGGGGAGACAGAAAAAAGAGAAGGGGGGCCCCTACTAGCTGCATGCAAGCAGCATGCAGCATGAAAGCTGTTATTGCTGCCATTAATAGTATTATTATTTATTATTACTAGTATTATTTATTTATTTATTTTATTTATTTATTAGGTAGAGGGGGGGAGAAGAGACAGAGGGAGATAACAAACACGCCAACCAAAGAGAGACAATATCCAATGCCTGCAGGCAAAATAAATAAATAAATAAAGAGGAGACAGTAATAATTAATTAAATAAAAAGGAGACAGTAATAATTAAATAAATAAAAAGGAGACAGCAGCAACAAGTGTCTCCTTTTGCAGCAACAAGTGTCTCCTTTTCCTTACCTCCATCTCTCATATGCTGGCAGCTGCAGCAGCAGCAGCTCGGTGGGCCCCGGGGGCCCATGGGGCCCATCAAGGAAGAAGACAGGTAATCCATGAAGGAGGGTACTCTTCAACTGGGGCCCCTCATGGGTACTTGGGCCCCCCCCCGCCGATTGAGGCGCCCCCGAGTACCCAGGGGAGGGGGGCCCCACAGATATATTCTTTATAAGGATTTGCTCTATAGAGGGTACAAGGAATACTGCTGTCCCTTTGCTGCCTGGTTGCTGTGTCAGCTGCTGCTGCGGTTGCTGCTGCTGTTTTTGTTGCTGCTGCAGATCGTGTTTATCCAGCAGCAGATGCAGCTGCTGCTGTTGTTGCTGCTGCTGGGGCTTGGTTAGTGAGCCGGCAGAAGCAGCAGCAGTAAGCAGCAACTGCTGCTGCTGCTCTCTGTCTCTTTTATCTTCTTCTGTCTCCGGCTCATACCCTAAGTCAGGGACAATCCAATTATGTGAGGAGACACCCAACGGACCCTGCTGCTGCTGCTGCTGCTGCTGCTGCTGATTAGGTATAGCCAAGTCAATAGAATAAGGGAAAAAGGGCAAAGAAGCCACACAACGCACCTAAGGAATAAAACAAACAGCAGCAGCAGCAGCAGCAGTAGCAGCACCTCAACCACAAGCAGAAGCAGCAACAGCAGCACCTCAACCAGCAGCAACAGCAGCATCTCAGCCATCAGCAGAAGCACGAGCAGCAGCACTAGCAGCAGCAGCAGCAGCAGCAGCACCAGCAGCAAGAAGGGGAGCTGACCTGCTGTCTATCTAGGGTTTGCTGCAGCTGCTGTATATGCTGCTGTATTTTGCATGCAAGTGTGGGGCCCCATTTCCTTTGCGGTGTATCTATTAAGAAAGGAGGGGGGGCCCTATTAGGATTAAATAGATCATAATCATATAATAACAGTTGCTGCTGCTGTCTTTGCTGCTGCTGCTGTTTATATTGTTGCTGCATCTGC